CAACACATCCGCCATTAAACATTCAAGGTGCTGGTGGAAAAGGTGAGTGAACACTTGGAATTAATAATAATAACAATAATAAGTGACTGAACCACTTTTGGCAGCAACAACCTAAAACAAGCCCTTCCTGTAGCTGTGGATCAGACCTGCACAACGTTCAGGAGGAATTCTGGACCATTGTTCCTGATAGAACTGCTTCAGCTCAGCCATATTCTTAGGATGTCAGGTGTGCCCAGCTCTCTTGATATTTCTTTTGGGATGAGGTCTGAGCTCTGACTGGGCCACTGCAAAAGGTGGATTTTGTGTCTCCAAAGCCATTCTGTAGTAGGTTTACTTCGTGTTTAGGGCCATTGTCCTGCTGCATCACCCAGCTTGCTCTGAGCTTCAGCTTGCCGACAGCCACCCTGACATTATCCTGTAGGATACCTTGATAAACTTGGGAATTCATTTCCCCCTCAACAATGGCAAGCAGTCCAGGTCCAGAGGCAGTAAAGTAGCCCCACATCATGACGCTCCCTCCACCGTACTTTATTGTTGAGATGATGTTTGTTGTGTTCACTAATGATTAAAGAACCGTATCAGGTTTTAATGCGGTGTCACCTGATGGCCCGAAGGTCACAGTCATTCAGTATTGGTTTTTGGCTTTGTCTTACACAGATGTCTCTGGATTTCAGATTTATCTTTTAATGATATTGTTATGTACCATATATTATGAAAACCCCAAATTCTTTACAGTTTTATGTCAAGAAATGATTTCCCCAAATTGCTGAACTATTTGCTATAGAGAATGGCGAACCCCACCCCACCCCACCCCACCCTTCTTCTGAAGGACTCAGCCTCCCTGGGTCTAACAACTCACACGCATCATAAATGTGGCAATAGGCCCCAATAAACCTCTGTCTAACCGACACAACCAACACAAGCCAAATTGCTGACAACTACTTACCAATATGCTGCATATCACATGTTTTTAGTAGAATTTTTAATACAGTATTGTTCAAAATAATAGCAGTACAATGTGACTAACCAGAATAATCCAGGTTTTTAGTATATTTTTTACTGGTACATGGCAAACAAGTTACCAGTAGGTGCAGTAGATTCTCAGAAAGCAAACAAGACCCAGCATTCATGATATGCACGCTCTTAAGGCTGTGCAATTGGGCAATTAGTTGAAAGGGGTGTGTTCAAAAAAATAGCAGTGTGGCATTCAATCAGTGAGGTCATCAATTTTGTGAAATAACAGGTGTGAATCAGGTGGCCCCTATTTAAGGATGAAGCCAGCACTTGTTAAACATGCATTTGAAAGCCTGAGGAAAATGGGTCGTTCAAGACATTGTTCAGAAGAACAGCGTACTTTGATTAAAAAGTTGATTGGAGAGGGGAAAACCTATAAAGAGGTGCAAAAAATTATAGGCTGTTCAGCTAAAATGATCTCCAATGCCTGAAAATGGAGAGCAAAACCAGAGAGACGTGGAAGAAAACGGAAAACAACCATCAAAAGGGATCGAAGAATAACCAGAATGGCAAAGGCCCAGCCAATGATCAGCTCCAGGATGATCAAAGACAGTCTGGAGTTACCTGTAAGTACTGTGACAGTTAGAAGACGTCTGTGTGAAGCTAATCTATTTTCAAGAATCCCCCGCAAAGTCCCTCTGTTAAAAAAAAAGGCACGTGCAGAAGAGGTTACAATTTGCCAAAGAACACATCAACTGGCCTAAAGAGAAATGGAGAAACATTTTGTGGACTGATGAGAGTAAAATTGTTCTTTTTGGGTCCAAGGGCCACAGACAGTTTGTGAGACGACCCCCAAACTCTGAATTCAAGCCACAGTACACAGTGAAGACAGTGAAGCATGGTGGTGCAAGCATCATGATATGGGCATGTTTCTCCTACTATGGTGTTGGGCCTATTTATCGCATACCAGGGATCATGGATCAGTTTGCATATGTCAAAATACTTGAAGAGGTCATGTTGCCTTATGCTGAAGAGGACATGCCCTTGAAATGGTTGTTTCAACAAGACAATGACCCCAAACACCCTAGTAAACGAGCAAAGTCTTGGTTCCAAACCAACAAAATTAATGTTATGGAGTGGCCAGCCCAATCCCCGGACCTTAATCCAATCGAGAACTTGTGGGGTGATATCAAAAATGCTGTTTCTGAAGCAAAACCAAGAAATGTAAATGAATTGTGGAATGTTGTTAAAGAATCATGGAGTGTAATAACAGCTGAAAGGTGCCACAAGTTGGTTGACTCCATGCCACACAGATGTGAAGCAGTTATAAAAAACTGTGGTCATACAACTAAATATTAGTTTAGTGATTCACAGGATTGCTAAATCCTAGAAACAAAAACGTTTGTACAAAATAGTTTTGTGTTTGTACAGTCAACGGCAGACACTGCTATTTTTTTGAACACACCCTTTTTAACTAATTGCCCAATTGCACAGCCTTAAGAGCGCGCATATCATGAATGCTGGGTCTTGTTTGCTTTCTGAGAATCTACTGCACCTACTGGTAACTTGTTTGCCATGTAGCAATAAAAAATATACTAAAAACCTGGATTATTCTGGTTAGTCACATTGTACTGCTATTATTTTGAACAATACTGTATGTAAAATGTGGAGTGGAGTGGAGTGGTAGTGTACTTTGTTTCAAGTTAGATATTTTTTGACCAATCTGTCCCAAAACATACAGTATGTAAAACAGGGGCACCCCTCCCTTTAGCTGTTTCATCTCTAACCCTGGTGTGGGTTTCCAGTAACAGTATTTAACATTTGTATCTAGTACCATCTCTGTATTATAGGGGGTGGCTGTGACTCAGGAGATACAGCAGGTCGTTTCCTAACCCGATGATTATTGGTTTGATTCTCAGCTTGTTCAGTCAACGTGTCAAAGTGTCTTTGAGCAAGACACTGAACCCCCAGTTGCTCCTGGTGATGACACCTGTGTGAGTGTTTGTGAGTGCGAATGGGTGAATGGCCAAATAGTGTGAAAGCGCTTTGAGTGTGCTGCAATGCATAGAAAAGCACTATACAAGTATAAGATCATATTAATCTCAACTGTATAAACCTCTGTACTATTTCTGTGTTCATTGTATTAGTCTTCCACTGAGCAGTGTAGCATAAAAAGACTAGCGCATCTAATAATAAGGTACAGTTGCAATGAAAGCCTTTCTAACTAGCAAGATCCTTTGCATTTGGACATGTCTCCTTTTGAATATATGGTATGCTGTAATTATATATAGGATTTAGCTGAAACAGTTTTGAATGGCTATGAAATATATTTTCATTCTAAACTAGAAATTTCCACATTTTTCAGACAATTGATATTCATAAACAGTGTTTTTCATGTGTTTGATATAGGATATGATTTAGGAAGTGACATTGCAAGATTCCAGACACACACAGTGGACACTTGATGTAGCCTACAGTTACATCACAGCATCATGGTGAATCATGTTTGTGTTTCACTGCAGCTCTGACTAGCTGTGTGAGGCTTAACCACTTATAGGGATTAGGAAAGGGGAAGGTGTGCTCACATGTGAGGACCTGTGATTTCTGATCACCACCTGTGTTTCACTTATGGAGTATGTTTGTACAAGTTTATAAGTATAGGATACTATGTCACACCCCTCAATCCTGTCACTGATGAGAAATGACATGAGTCACACTCAGGTAATATAAGTCCAGTGACTCACATCTGTTATATGAAGAAATGGACAGTAAGAAACATTCTGTCTGAACCAGGAAAGTAGCGTACATAGGAATATTTGGACATAAATTCTTTACTTGCATTAGAGAGAGAGAGGGGGAGAAAATAGATAAACTATCTAGCTAGATATACATATCCAGGTAGATGGAGCCGCAACGGGAGACAACCAGGACAAGGTCCTGTGCGTGGAATGAGTTCCAATTGCTGCTGGATAATAAGGTAAGTACGAGTGTTGTTTTAATTTCACCTGCATTTACACTGGAAGTCTCATCCTCCAGCAGCAGCCTCCACAGGTATTTCATTTTTATTTGATTTTGAATAAGGCATGACTAGTGACATTTCTGGTGATGATGATCTTCAATATTTTTCAGGTGTTGACCTGTGGAGAATTTTGGATCAAGATGCACACAGAGCCAGGGACATGCAAAGCACCACAGCTAATGCAATTGTGGAAGTGAACCAATACCTGGCTGATCCTCCCCTGGAAAGAACTGATGACGCCCTCACATACTGGACCACCCATAAAACTGTTTACCCAAACCTCTATAAATTAGCCAAGCATTTCCTGTGTACCCCAGCCTCATCTGTGCCATGTGAACGGGTTTTTTCCAAGGCTGGGGAAATAGTCTGTAAAAGGAGAAACCACTTGTGTCACTGTGGATGTACTGTTATTTCTCAAAAAAAAAACCTCATAAACAGTTACACAAGCACACCCTCTTTACACACATACCCATGAACCTCTCTACCAATGAACCCCAAAACACACTTTGCCAAGGTCCATACTATAATTTGTATTTGCACCAGTCTCATGTGCGAATGACATCTGTCTGAATCTGTAAAGCACATTTCATGAATGTAGCGCAACAGCATTTAAATGTTTTCATAACACAAAATATAAGTGAGGAGCATATATGGTTACACTCAGACGTGCCAAATAAGACACATGGTCTTCAACACGAGTCCATGTTTATTTGATATTTTATTGTGTCAGCTTGAAACTATACAATCATGTAGTGTAGTCGAAGAGGAATGTGCATGGCGAATCAAATCCCAAATAATCCATGAACCAATAAGTGACACGTCTTGATTGCACTTCATTTTCTTGACCACGAGATGTCCTACTCAAGCACTGTGTCATTGAGGCCTCAAGTAATGAACCATTTTTGTGAATACTGTGTTGAAGCTTCAACAAAACCTCGATCACCCATCACTAGTTTTAAGACTCAAAATATTTAAAATTGGTTAGAAAAGAAAACATTGGCATCACTTTGAGGCTAACTATTCCAATACCCTGGATGCCTGTGGTTGTCCCAAGAACGCGCACGCAGGAAGTTCCTTTCCTGTCGAGAGCGCGAAATATGACGTAAGTCGCTTGCCGCGCAGTGATGATGGCGGTGCGTGAACGCGCAGTAAAAGTAATGGCTGCTCTGGATCGGCGGGTTCCTAGTCTCGATGATTTCGTGGGTCAAAGCTGGACTGCCTGGACCGAGTGGGCCGGTGTGACAGCGGCAGATGGTAAGAAAGCACACTGACGCAAACACTGGCAGCTACGAGGCCATTTAATCAAACTGCCGGGGTTTATTTTCGTGGAAACGGAGGACAGAGCTAACCATGTTACCCAAACAAAGACCCTGCCGGGTCCTAGTGCTGGGTGGGTAACATGTTGCTCTCTCCCAGGTCCCACTGAGTACGCTGCCTCCAACAGAAAATAATAAGTGATCGTTATTAAGATATAGCCACTACAGTGTATTTTTACGACCATGGTCATCAAATAAGCTGCCACCTTTTAAGATATGCATTTCATTTTGGTGAAACCAACTGGGCAGTGGTGGCATCAGAGCGGAAGGAGGGTAGGGTGGCTGGGCGAGCAACTTCTTGCCGTGGAAAGCTAGGCTAGCTAGCTCGCTGCCCATAAATCCAAGCAAGCCGTTGACGACGAGGGAGTTAACGTTAGCATGCTAATGGTAGCAGGAGGATTCGGAGTAGACACCGGTGATGGAGGAGGAGTCTGATGCTGTTGCCACCATGTAAATGCTGGCCCAGGCTTGTGATATTAGCAAACGTTAACCTGTGTTCTTTCGGCTTAATTTTAATGTTCCATTTTTTTATTGCCAGGATCTCCACCTCCATTTAACTGATATTAACACTTCTGTATGTGACAGGGAACCTCATATGTGTGACTTCTGCCCCAAAAGTGCTCTTGCCCTTCTCAGATTTAAGTAACATTATGTGCCCTCACTCATTGTCTGCTATTCCTTGAAGTGTTACTCTTTTCATAACTATCAAATAAATAACTCCTCCACCACACAGTATCGTTACAATCAGCTATTCATTGTCAACAAACTATGATAAAGCCATTAACCAGCAGCAGTCAGAGAGGAGCAGTTGATCTGCAAAACACTCCTTTACATAACACAGTTTAAGGGTCTCTATGTACAAAATTTGTAAGTTGTACTGATAAATCAGACACAAATCTGGAAAACATCTGACCTCCCAAGTGATTTATTAAACATGTATGTAAAATCTGATGTTTCAGGGCCAGATGCAGGTGACTTAAGCAAGAATGGCAAAAAAGCAGCAGAGGCCATGTCACTCAGTAAGGAGGGTAAGTCTGCACACTGTCATCTAAAAGACAGCCAAGACTCTTATTGTTTGGGACATCTAAAACCAAGTAGACTGTTTTCTATGCCTGCTTATTGTGTTCAGGGGTAATGGGGCTGGAGTCTGTTGTCACTCAAACTGGGCTGGTGGGTTGCACCCTTGGCAAGCTGCTGGTCTATCACAAGCTCACCTTTATATAATACTGTATCCAGACAGGCAACTGTTCACAGTTATGCACAAATTGGAGTTATCAGTTCACTGAGACTGCAAGGTCTTTAGCACCTAAAGGAAACCCACTCAGACAGCATGAGAACATCTGAACTACAAAACAAAGTAAGCCGTCCTTACACCACCAGTGCTGCCCATGGTGACAGACAGACAAATAAACAAACAAAAAACACCATTAATCTACCATAGTGCTCTGTCCAGCTGTTGGATTTTCCAGTTATGTAAAAAAAAAATCAATTTAAATGTTAATATTTCATGATCTGCACACAACAGGCATTTAGTTGTTGATGTTGCAATAACCTAATAGCATTCACCCCCTGAAAACGGGATTCAGCAATATTGTCTACCAGTATTATCACTTTTAGTAATTTTTAATTACAAGATTAGCCTTTATGTAATGCAGCTTTATCCACAGCTGCCTTACAGAATAACATTGCCATGTTTTAGGGCTGTACCCTATTAAGAATTTTGTCAGTGGACTTGGATTCGGCCATTCAGTGTGACTATTCAACCATTTTATATACATTTATATGAAACAGTCTGTCAGAAAATTCAGTGGTGATTTTGACCATATTATCATCAGTATTTAAATGCAAAAAGAGTGACAGGAACATATTTCTGAGAATTTAAAAAATCAATAAAGACAGCTGCATATGATGCAGTATTTAAATTGCGACCTATTTGAATTGATGATAAATAATGTCGGGCTGCCATATGGATTTGTCGGAATAAAGATACGGGCGGCACACTTGTATTTTTTTTCTTATAGGCAGCTTTTTTTCTTCTGAGACATGGTTATAGCCTAGTTTACCAACAAGTTTGAGCCTCTCTCATCATTTACCCACCAGCGCATGTTGTTACATTTGATGTGTGGCAGGTTGCACTGCTAAAGAATAGAAGAGTATCTTATTTATAATTTCTTAGTGAAATGTTTTTCTGGTCCATTTATGTTGGCTTTCTAGACCTGTTCTGATGGACGCATGTCACAGAAACGTAAGAGAAATGGCTGTGTGTTATACTACAAACCAGACACGGATGCAAAGCCAGCCACATTGTTGCAACTGTTAGTCTTTCCTCCTCTCCACTCTTCTCCCAGACATGTCCATCTTTGGCCTCTACCCTGGCCATGATGATTTCTACCTGGTGGTGTGTAGCAATTGTGGCCAAGTAGTGAAGCCTCAGGCATTCGAAAAGCACTGCGAGCGGAGACACGGCCCTCTGGCCAAGCTGTACACCCGACTACGCTCTCCCACCCCTGCACCCCAGCCCCAGCCGCGGTCTCACCACGGCCATTCTCCTTCCCATGGGGTCAGCACTGCTTCTGCTTCATCTTGGGAGGGTCGGAGCCAGGGGGTTGGGCAGCTACGGCCAACTCCACCTTCGCCTTCTGCCCCACCCCAGTACAGACACTCCAAGAACTCCAAGGATGGAGTACGGTAAGAACAGAGTGGGGAAATTGGGGAGAAAGTTCTATCTAGAGCTCATAGGTCAAAGAACTGGATTTTACAAGGAACCAGGCAAAATTTAGGATAGAGTGTAGTTCTGTATTTTGATACTTTAATGCAGTAATTCACTCAACCCCCATGTAATGCCACAACTTGCTTTCTTGTTGTCTTTGCATCCTGTGTCGTAATCCTTACCATTTCCTAATCACAGTATCAAAATGCTGATACCAGGCAGTCACAATTGCACAGCAAATTTAACCAGTTAACATTTTTTCTATTAAAATTTGCAAGAAGAAGAGATAATTTTACTGCTGCCATTTTAATGGCATTTTTGTTTGCATCAATTTGCCATCAGATGTCAGCATCATGTCAGTGTTTGTATACATTTGTCAAGAATTTATTGCCGTTGAATAGAAGAAAGAAGACGATATTAATTAAGGCCAAGAAAGGTAGTGGTGTGGAATCAAAAGTCAACACAAAAGAGAAAGAAAAGGAGAGAAAGTCAGAATCCAAAGAGATTTAGTTTCAGTCAGCCTCAATGAGCTTCACATTTTAATGCAGGTTAAGAATGGACAAACAGTCCCTCACACCAACCTTAGACACTAAGCTTAACAGGGAAACACCTCTTTAGAAAGATAAAATACAAGGAAAGAAGATTAAATACTGATAACATGAACAGAGTGCACTGAATGAATATGAACAGCTCTGTGTGCTGTCTGTGATTGTTGGTAGGGATGACTGATAACACATTTTTCAAACTGAGAACAAGTACTTACTTTTGGGTACTTTGCCAGTATTCAGTACGATACAGGTACTTGATGATAATAATAAATGAAAATAGCAATATTAGAAAAAATAAAAATAATACTCCTATAAAATTAAAATTGCCATAAAAGTGCAGTGATTTCAGAGTGCATTTTTATGAGATCTTATTTCCCCTTTGAATGTGATTAAATAAAATATATAACTGTGGGCTGCAGCTTAAAAAAATTGACATGAAACGTTTTGTGTAAACTAACATTCAACTGCACTGCTACCACTGCAGTTACCTGTGAACATGGAGCTGGTTGAATTTCAGTACTACACAATATAATATAGATAATACGGTGCTTCTTAACCTTTGTAAGAGTGCAATTTAAAACCAAAATTAAAAAGGGTGCATGGTCGTCTATTAAACTGATGTCTGTGGTATCATCCTCTTTGTGGGGTGACAGTGGTGTGGTGGGTAGAGCAGCCGTCTCCCAACTGGAAGGTTGAAGGCTTGAATCTCGGTGCTTGCAGTCCACATGTCGAAGTGTCCTTGGGCAAGACACTGAACCCCCAAGTTGCCCGTGATGGCAGCGTGTATGCACGCAGTGGCCCGGGGCCCTCGGCTCCAGACAAAATTTCGTTGTACATGTCACAATGACAATAAAATAAAGCTGCTGCTTCTTCTTCTCTTATCTGCTGATGAGAACAGCTTCCTCTCTGCTGGACACATACATACATACATGTACTGCTCAATCTCGAAGACCACAAGAATTCAACTAATTGTCATAGACAGAGGACACCTTTTGGATAAAACTGTAGCTGTTATTTTGTCAGTTAAGTTAACTTTGCACTTGCTCTTTTTCTCCTGTCACCCAGACATCCCCCACTGGAGAAGTCCTCTTGCCACAGCAGCCATACAGAGTCATCATTATTCAAGCAGCCGCCACCTCTGGATCCTCCGATGAACTCTCCACCTCCATCACTCAGAGATCCCCCCTGGCCACATGGAGTCACACCACCTGGCAGGCCTTTACCCAGTGATAGGCCCGGCACCCACAGCCAGAGGAAGGACTCCTCTCTGGCCTCTATGGTGCCAGGCCACCGGATCCCCAGACCATACAACAAAGTGGCCTCCAGTGAGTATAGATTGAGAGGTTTTGAAAATATGGAAATAGTAAGAGGTTAAAGGACGGATAGTTATCTTATAGTAAGTTCTTATGCTGTTGAGTTGTCTAATAATCACGGCAGAGCTTGATAATGAGAAGTACCTGAACATAAATTCTGCTTATCGGTATGTGTTTTTGATTATATAATTTAATAGTTATTTACACAGAACTTGCTCATAAACACCTTTTCATGTGACTATCCACAGTTACAAGTACAAAGTAGCTCCAGTCTCCTAAATGACCATAAAACTAAGTGGACACACTAACAAGTATCAACAAAACCTCAACATTTATAAGGAAGGTATCTGCTATTTACTGCTGTTCAGTTTGCATTGTTATTAAATTGTATTTCCACGTTTCACTTTGCGCGCTCTGTATTAGGCTAGCAGATTATAGGATGTGAGATTAAAATTCAAACTGGACAGTACAGCACTGAGACAGTTTAATATGTTTCTCTTCATGTCATCTCTCTGTAATAAAACTCTGAAGTTCTGAGCTCATCACTTTGGATAGCCCAATGGGTGTGTGAATTTCTGTACAAATCAGAGCAGAAAAATAAGCTTTAACTTAAAACATGATCCTGACAAATAAAAAATTGTTTCCTTCTCTACCTCTTACGCTGTAAGACTTAACTGGTGTTTGTGCTGGACTCACTGGGAGCTCTGACTCCGCTTAGCTATTGCGCACATCTAAACAGTTAGCAGTTAATGTTAGACTAACAAGCTTGCCATAGTTTTAGGGATGTACCGATACCAGTGTCGAGTCCGATACCACCCTCTAGTACTTACTAGAAATGGATGGGGATATCTTTTCAGTTGTTTATTGATTGTGTGGTGATGTTGGTGAGATGCTCTCTTTGTGTCCTCAGAAAGGGAGTGTGACTTGGACAAGCACTGTGGTGTCCTTGACCCTGGCAGGAAGAAAGTCTGCACACGCCTCTTGACATGCAACGTAAGTTCCAAATGCACTCAAGGGCAACACACACAGGCAGCATGTGCGTTTCACACCCACACCCATTATTTTCAGTGCAAGTTCACACACCGACAGTGAACTGGCATGCACCAACCAGTCAGGAGATGCTATTGTCCTATTTGCCCTGTGTCATCTTGCGTCAAAAGCATAAAATAGTGAAGCAGTCACCCATTTCGGTATTCCCTCACTGAAATTGCACCGCTCCCAGTTTGTGTTATGGGTGTCATGAAATGTGTGCCACATAATGCGCCACCCCCAGTGTGTGTTGCCCATCAGCTTCTCCAGACTAATACCCTACCTCTTTTGCTTCAAATTCTCATGTCTGTCTCTTTCACTTTTCTCTTCATTTTCATGATTTTTTATTTTTTATTTTTGTATGTTTTCTGTTGTTCTCTATATAGTTAAGTAAAATAGTGAGAGGCTTAATTTCAGTACCTGGTCCTGTTTTCTTTCCTTTGCAGTTACTACACATCAGAGTAGGAAGGTTGGTTGTGGATTTGCAGTCTCTTTATAACTCAGACAACTAGTCAGATAATGTTTTTGGCAACAGAAATGTCTCTGTTGTAGGGAACAGATAACATGTGATAGAGGCACTTAAGAAATTGAAGAAAGTGGCGCCATCAGGATATAGTGCACACAAGAACCGATGAGAAAAAGATTTCTAAGGATCATATTATAACCAGCGCCTTTCTCCTTATAACAAGATACTTTATTTGTTTTTAAAAGATACCTTCACCTTTTTAAATGTTCTTTTTCTCATTGTTAGAACATACAGTATTTTCTACTTATATCGATATAGGCTACTATAGTTTCTCGTAACAGTGCGAGCCCTGCACAGCTTGGAGTGAGTGCAGCACACACACTCACTTTGAGCAGTAGCCTACCTTAGCTCATTCAGTTCAGCAACCTCTCTCATCAACACTCTCCCATACCAACTTACCACACAGTGACCAGCATTGTGCTCAGGAGGTGTGCTCCTGCCCTTGAGAAACTGATTTGACACTTAAATTCATGCAGAGTAATTAGCCCACAAAATAACATATGAATGTAGCTAATGAGCAAATACCCTGCACATGCCCCAATGACATTACAGGAATTATTGACAGAGGTCAAGTGATATCATATTACATAGCTGCTTGGATCCATACACTGGAATGCTGATGATGCAGTGACTGCCAGAACCAGTGGCCTAAAATTTGAGCAAAATCATAAAAAAAATGTATGTATGGTGCTTACAAGATTGTGGCTGCAGGTGCAACTGTATATAACTTTCCACCATTTACTAGGGTGTTTATAGTTCATTTCAGCTCTGAGAATCGTGCCCACCCAACTTCGCCCCATCTGGTGTGGATTAAATATAGCTTACAGGTTTGCATTAACAGTAAATCATAGAAATCCCTCTGTTTCTTGCTCAGTTCATTTTCAGACCAGAGTTAAGTGTAAGGACTTAATTTTTTCATAAATTTTTTTTATTATTCTTGTTCAAAATAAACACATCAATTCTGATGCCTGCAGCACATTCCAAAAAGTCAGGGTGGTTGCATTTCAGGGCTAGTAATGAGGTAAAACAATGAAATGATGATTCCATTTAAAACAGGTGATGTCAGCAGGTGATTGCAGTCATGCTTTGGTACAAAAGTGTCATCCAGCAAAGATGGAAGAGATGTAGCAGTTTATGTTTGAGCCTCATTGACCATTACATAGCAGTATTGTATAAAAGAGATAAGTCGAATGTGTAAATGTATTTATAGCCCGGCTGAACGTTTGTGAACGAAACGTAGTGTTTTAATTTGCTGTTGACACTCCAGTGTGGCTACTACTGTCCCATAATGTTTGATAGTATATCACATGATCCGAAATGTAATCTAGTAAAGTTACCAGAGAACCAAGAGCTTGCCTTGTTGTATTAGCAGCAGCTGAACATTACTGTGAATGTTACTGTATTGGAGGCTGGTGAAGGAGAGTCAGAGACACTACTTTGTCCTTTTTGTTGACAAAAGGCCCCTTTATTTTTACACATAGCTAAGAGCAACAACTCCAGCAGAACACACACAACATTCTGGCTAACAACCCTGCCAACTTGAACTAAATACCTCCTACACCAAGTGGGGTAATATGGGGGATCCCGTAAGGCGCTCCCCTCCTGAGCATTCTGGGGGATCCCGCCAAGTGTCTCTCTCTGCCCCCCACCGCTACACAGCCCCCACCTGGCTGGTTAACTGTCTTCAGTAACCCACAGTCTTAACAAAGTCCCTCAAGCACTGGGGCACCCTGCGCTGGTGCTGAGGCCGCCCTGCGGGTCCTTATCCACCTGGCAGACGGGTCAGAGGCTGGTGGCTGGCCCCAGTGTCTGTTTCCCCCTCCGGCGGGGCCAGTAACTGGTAAGGTGCAAGGCGGCCCCCGTGTAGCACCAGTACTTGGCCCCGCCTTTTCAGTGTCACTCTGTTCACTACATCTGATAGTCTCTCCAGCATAGTGCAGGGCCCATCCCAGTGGCTGGTTAGGTTAGGGGAGACAGTCCTGTCTTCTGCTCCGGGCTGTACACCTGCAACGTACATCATAGCGCCATTTCTGGTGAGACCCCATGTCCGAGATGGCCTTCATTGTCAATACGTGTATCTCTGTGAATAACTCTATTATTGACCTCATCTCTGTTGGGTTGAGGTGTGGACCCTCACTGGGAATTTATTTTCCCCTCTATGATGGCAGCCCAGGGGCAACAAAGCAGACCCAAATCATAATGCTACCATTGGGATGATGTTTTCATGTTGGTATGAAACAATCTTTTATGATAATTTGTGCTGTCCAAAAAAGAAAAAAGAAAAACACCGCAGTGCACCTGAAGTTTGTGAAAGACCACCTTAACACTCTAAAGCACTACTGAGAAAATGTTTTTGGACTGCTGAAACTCAGGTTGAATTGTCTGGGAGAGAAACACAGTGCTATGTATGATGTACAAAGGGACTACCTACATGAAACACAGTGCTATGTATGATGTACAAAGGGAATACCTACATGAAAACATCATCCAAACAGTGAAGTATGGTGAAGGGAGCATCATGATTTGGGGCTGCTTTGCTGCCTCTGGACCTGGACAGCTTGCCACAGTGGAATGAATTTCCAGACTGATTTGCCTGTTGCTTTTTTGCCAGTCAAGCTATGGTCAATAACCATCCTCACAAAGTGAAAATATTTTCTCAAATTTGATCATTTATATAAAATCAAAAACTGAAGTCTCTTATTCATATCTAAAACTTGGCATTCCCGGTGGCACAGTGGCCTCAATATGAATTGGAGGAATTTGGGGGCTACCAGAACTCTTCCTAGAGAAGACCAGGCAATAGGGATCTTGCTCAAAAGCAGAATGGTTTAGAATACTTTCTGTATTGTGTAGAGAGGTTTGCATGAGTTGCATTTATTACACATTTTACATTTCACTAGTGTATTAAAGTTAGGCATGATAGTTAAGTTGCATATTAGTGAATTACTAGATTCTTATGTACCAATATGCTCAAAGTAATGTCATTCTGTTGTGGGAATATCTTTAAAATAAACATCTTTAAATTATTCTAATAATCTGTGTCAAATCACAAGACTGTACAGTATTGTAGCCCTGCATTGAATAAAATACAATCACCAGTGAAACAGCAAAATGGAAAAGGAGGCATGATAATGTGAGTTCAGAATAGCTGTTTTCAAATGAATGAAACTGCAGCCACAGCTTTTTTTTTTTTTTATCAGATCAGCCCTGACTGATACTTTGCAATGGAATTAGTTCCCAGCAGAGGAGTCCTTATGTGGAGGCTGGTGTATGTGAAGGAGGGAGTGTTTGTGAGAGGCCTCATCCAGCCATGTAGAGGCAGGATGATCAGCAGAAAATGGCAGGAGTGACATGAAAGACACAGGAAAACGGTGCATCTTACACCTACGCTCTAAGACTCTCAGGTGGTTGTAGGTTCTCTTCTGTTTGGAACTACTAGAGGAGGAAAAATTTAATGTAATTTTAACTTAGAATGATTTAAATTAGAAAGGTGCGTTTATAAGCAAAGCTGATGCCTTATTTCAATGATGATATAGTTTTTGATGAATCCTGTTTAATGTGCTTCTGTTTAATAAAATAAATCATGGCATAATTGTCTTAAGACTCTTGAGAAAACAGTTAAGCTGGTTCCAGCTTCTCCAATGTGAAAATTTCTTGGTACCCATCTGGTCTATAGCCAGGACATCGTAATGTCCGAATGACATTACGATGTCCTGGCTATAGACCCTAGTGGTGTGGATCATTGAGTTGATGTCTCGTTCACTCCTGGCATACAGCTTGATGTCATCCATGTAGAGGAGGTGGCCGATGGTTGCTCCATTTGGTATCTGTAAACGCTCTTGGTGATGATCTGGCTGAGGGGGTTCAGCCCTATGCAGAACAGCAGCGGGAACAGAGCATCCCCTTGGTAGATACCGCACTTGATGTTGACTTGTGCAATTGGCTTGAAGTTGGCCTCTAGGGTTGTTTTTTCACATTCCCATTGAGTTCTTGATGAAGGCCCTTAGAGTCCTGTTTATGTTGTACAGTTCCAAGCATTCCAGGATCCATGTTTGAGGCATTGAGTCATAAGCTTTCTTGTTGTCAATCCAGGCAGTGCACATGTTGGTATGCCTGGTCTTGCAGTCTCGAGTGACTACTTTATCAACCAATTAGCTGGTGCTTTTCTATTCTGGTGTTACTACCAATTCCTTTCTGGGCGCTGCTCATGTATTGAGCCATGTGCCTACCCATCTTAACTGCCATGATGCCTGACAGGAGCATCCATGTTGTGCAGAGGCAGGTTATTGGGGAGTAGTTGGATGGTACTGCTTCCTTCTGAGGGTCCTTCAGGATCAGGACTGTCCGGCCTTCAGTTAACCACTCGGGGTGGGTTTCATCCATTGGTAACTGGTTCATTTGTCCTGGCAGGTGCTCATGGAGTGACGTTAGCTTCTTT